TAATTCTGTCATGAGCAGGAGGAGCTATTCCTCACCCCCCCCCCCCCATTGAAAAGGACAAACACACAGAACTAATATACTTCACATCTTCAGAGTGCTGCACAAAACCTAATGGAATCCTTACAATAATCCTGGGAGGTGCAGGGTGAGAAAACCGAGGCAGAGCAGTTAAGTGACTTGACCCACGGCCAATGACTGAGTCAGTGGCAGAAGCAGAATTAGAACTCAGGAGATCCTGACTAGAGCTGATCACAAAATGGGATTTCCAAGCTGTTGGAAACCAGTATTTCTACATTCCTTTTCATCCCAAATCAGGACAAAGTTAAAATGGCAAAATATTTCACAGAACGAAAAACTTCAACTTGGAAATGCCCAAATGCTTTGTTTTGAGTTGACATTAATCTCTGCATTTGGCTGAGCCACTGCAGTGTCTCATGGTAGTTGTGGTTCTGGGTCCCCTTTGCATCCTGGGCAGATTACATCTTCCTTGATGTACCACAGTGTCTCCTTATTATTGAGATGCTGCAGTGCTTCATGGGACATCTGTGGCTGAACTAGTGTGGTTCTTTATGGGACCCAGAAGTACACCTTCCATAAGGCACTGCAGTAATTAAGGCAAATGCAGAGATTAATGTCAACCCAAAGTAAAAACATTATTTCAGTTTTCTCAATGGAAAATGCCAACAAAATCTTTTCCCAAAGAAAAACTTCAATTTTGACAAAACCCCATTTTCCAATTGCAAAATTTCAATTGAAAATCTTCAACCAGCCCTAGTCCTGAACTCACTTCCCTAGAACACTCTCTTTAGAAAAGAAATGCGGGAGGGAGGGAGAGGTTTTAAAACTTCCAAGTGGGAAACATTGGGGAGTTTTTAAAAATTACTTGTCTGTATCCTTTTGTACCTTGGGTTTTGTTTTTTTCTAAGTCTTTGGGTTTTCAAAAACGACTAGAAATGCATTAAAAGTGAGCTAGGCATTTTTTAAATGTAAACATTCCCCTGCATGCCTTGGAACCCCAATACTTGCAGCATGATGCAAATAAATGCATGACCCCAGAAAGTGAAACTGAGGAGAGAGAGCTTTTCAGTAGTAGTCCCTGAGGAAGAGAATTAGTTTTTAGCATTTGAGCTCTACTATTGAGAAGTAAGGTTAATGGCAGTGAAGGATTATGCTAAATGAAGAATTCAGTAATGCTGCAACATCTTCCTTTTGCTCTCAAAGACCAGATTGTGTCTAGAAGCAAGAGAAGAAGAGTAATGAGAAGGGTATTGCACCATTATTATTCCTCTGTATACTATAATAGTTATTTTGTAGATGGCAGCAATTTGAAATCCGTTAGATCAAGCTTGATGTAGGTTTAATATTAATGTGAAATAAAAATACAGTTTAGTAAACTGAATCTTTCTATCCATTATAGTGGACCTTGTTGAAGGAATGGGGCAGAAATGAGATTAATTTCCCTTGCCACTTGGTGTCACTATAATTCCAATATATCTGCTGTCCTTATTTTCATTTCTTACATATATTGCAATTGCACATTATTGGGCTGGAAATGCTGGAATCTTTTCCTTGTAATTCAGTCTGAGATCTTTTATAATGAGTGTTTAAAGATGAGTATTTACCCAAATTATAAGAGGAGAGCCCCATTATCCTTTTGCCTTTTGAGATCCCTGAATGAAAGGTGCTATGAAGTGCCAAGTATTATTGATATGACACCGCTGTCAGCGGGCGTGTAATCTGTGTGACAAGGTTTCTTTTGACCCACAAGGGGCAACCACATTTTTAGTCTTACTGCAGTCGGTAGACATTATGACTTGTTCATTCTTCTCTTACACTGATTTCTTTTTATTTGATTTTGACATCCCTGTATCTGAAGCATATAGGTGCATGGGACAACAAATTAGTAATGATAACATGGAGGCTATGGCAGTCTTCCCATGCAAAACAAGAAACCCTTAAACACACCAAACACATTGAATTTGGCATTCAGTATTTTTTAGGAGCAGGGTGGGAAGTTAGAAATCAGGTGCTATTTGTTATCTATCCCATTGTTGGGCTTGGTACTCTTCTTTAGGGTCCCCCCCCCCATCAGACTGTGTTTTTAAAATGTTACATTAATGATTATTGGAGGTATAACCCAGGCAGTTATATGTATGTGTGTATTTTGCAATAATTCATTTAATATAAAAATTGAGATATATTACTGTGCTTTTAAAGGCCCTGCTGTGCAGTCCTCTGCTGAAATGCCAGAGAGAACCAAAAAAACATCTGGTGTGCCCCTTGGAAAAAATACTTCAGGAGATTCTCGGTAAGAAATATTTTATACTGAGGCTCGGAAGGATTAGATTTTTATCAGTAAATGTTGGTAAACATCAATTTCACTGTACACGCATACAAAGTGACAAATATTATCAAATACAAAATTTACAGATAGACAAAAACAATGCTTGAAGTTATTAGAGTTTGCTTCAAGAATATTTACTTGGTATGTTTTGATTTGTGATGTTGACAATTTGTTTTAACAGTTATAAAGCTTTAACTTCTTAATCTTAACATCTATTGTCATTAAATAATTCTGACCCTAACTTCCCACAATTGTGAAAATTTAAATTGATTAAAAAATTGAAAAAAGTTGATAGCCATCAAAATTATTTTTAGAAAACTCATTCTGCCAAGCCGATGTATATTTTACAATAAGGTTAATCAAATGATCAGATTTGCTAGGCTTGTTAAATGTAAACAACATATACAGTATGTAGAAATATGTCACAACTAGGGCCACTGGAAGTTAATGTAGCAGAATTTCCACCCATTCTGTGACGGAAGGGTCTCCTTATGGGTGTTTCTGGTATTCTTTTCTATAGAACTTGAGCTTTCTCAAGTGTTGGGTGGAACTTTTTTTGGCAGGTAAGGGAACAGTTTCAATGTAAACTGATAGTGCTTTCTGACTGAGTCTGCAGACACAGTGGGTATGTCTACACAGCAACTAGACATCCGCAGCTGGCCCATGCCAGCCGACTCAGACTTGGGCTTGGGCTGCGTGGCTGTTTCATTGCTGTGTAGACTTTTGGGCATGAGCTGGAACCTGGGCTCTAGGACCCTCCCACCTTGCAGGGTCCCAGAGCACGGGCTCCAGCCCATGCCTGGAAGTTTACAATGCAATGAAACAGCTGCGCAGCCTGAGCCCCGTGAGCCCAAGTTGGCTGGCATGGGCCAGCCACAGGTTTTTCTTTGCTGTATAGACATACCCCGAGAAACATTAGCTTTAAGAACTATGAAGTGTCCTGTTGCTCTCAGTGGAATAATCACTCTGAAGTATACTAATAGAAACATCCAGCTATGATACTTACCAAGCATGGGTAGGCTATATGAAAGTACATTCTATACAGATTTCAAGTTTTACATTTTACCAAAAATTGAATATTATGTCTAGAATATAATTTTTGTCCTTAGCATGGGGCCTGCGAGGTCGAGGACAGAGAAAATGTCTGATGGGGGAGTGGAAGGTCTCCAAGGGAGGGGAGAGTTCATGTGAAAATCTCAAGTAGGCACTGAAAGCTCTGAACTTGGGGGGCAAGAAATTTAAAACAAGACTGGGCAACAGTTTTATTTCAAATTATTCAATAAAAACAAACATAATTTGGTATGAATTTTCTTTTAAAAATCCAGTGGATTTTTCCAAAAATATCTGCAAAATCCAGGACAAAAGTTCCAGTAAATAGGGAAAATTTGCTGCCAATTTCCACTGGCCCTAGGCATGAGAAGATTTAACACTAGGGAAAATACCACTCTGAGAAGTATTCCATAATCCACAAGCAACAAAGGAATCAGTTAGAAAGTAGAAAAATTCTGAAAAATCCAATTTTTTCATTGAAATTTAAATTATTGAAAAATTTTAACCACTCGATAAACTGATAACAGAGCAAGCAGTTTCTGTGAAAACTTCCAAAAAATATATGCAAAGAATTTGTCAAGTTTGAAAGTGTCCAGTGAACTCTAGCATAAGTAAAGGGTGGGGCAGTCTAATAAGAAATGCCCTAGCTTTCACCCACCTGGCCAAGGCCCATTCAGTTTATTCTTTTATTACATATAAAGGTATGTCAGGTTCATGGGCAGTGTGTTTTTAATATTTTTTTTAATTTAAAAACAGAAGAATGTGTCTGATTATGGGTTAAGCATTTTTTGTTCCTTTTTTCTACTCAGTTTCAGCGCATGAACATATAGAGCCTTTCATGAATGCCTAGTTATTCCATGCTTGGCTGAGTTCATCTAACTGGCTGTGATTATTTATGTTGTTTCTGTTGCTTTGGTTTAACCTTATTTTGTTAGGAAAAAATATAAGTAACACGATATGAAGGGTTTGTTCCAGTACTAGTAGTAAGTAAATGTCACTTCACTGATTTCAGACTCCCAGCACAAAGCAGAAGATAAGGTGGCAGATCACCCATGACTTGAAATGGCTGCCTTTACTTGTACAGCATTGCTACTGAAGATCCTAGGAAAACAGTTCCATAAAACCATCTGCATTCCAACTTGTCACACAGTTTATTACATGGAAGACAACTGTGTGTTACTGATTACAATACAATGTGCAAGCTGAAGTTTACAAACTTGCTAGTTTCTTTTCTGGGATACAAATTATTTTCTAGTGCCCTTTTTAAAGCATAATTGATTTTTTTTTTTTTTTTTTTTTTTTTGTAAATTGTTCTGCCCCATTTATGACTGGTTAAAGAGGATACCATCAAGATATTTAAAATTATTTTTAAACATCATTGTGATTGTAATAGGGTGCTCGGAGGACCAGGCAGCCAAGTGGCTGGCATGCCTGACTTCTGGCCCCTTGCTTCCCTGGCAGAGGTACCTCAGTCATTAAGAAGGTATGATAGGGGGACTTGGGCCCTCCCTCTCTACCAGATTCCAGCCCAGGGCCCTTTGTGAAGCAATGCCAGCAGGGTCCTCCCATCAGAGTCCAAAATCTGGTCTACCCTAGAAAATTAGTCAGCTTAACTACGATGCTCAGTGAGTGGTGTGAAAAATCCTCACCCTTGAGCATTATAGTTAAGCTGACCTAACCCTTGGTGTAGACAGCGCTAGATTGACAGAAGAATTCTTCTGCCAGCCTAGTTACCGTCTCTCGGGGAGGTGGATTCCCTATGCTGAAGGGAGAACCCCTCCCATCACTATAGGGAGTATCTACACTGAAGCGCTACAGCAGCACAGCTGTGCCCCTGTAGCATTTTAAGTGTAGATAAATCCACTGCCCTGGGTTACTTCCTGTCTCTTCAGTTTTGGGAATAGCCACTATAATCTGTAGTGGTTCAACTCAAGTAGCACCCCCTTGTGGACCTTTTGTAGCATCCTGCCACAGTCCCAGGTTCCTCTGAGCAGGACAGATGTAAGATTGAAGGGGGTCTAAGCTCACAATGTCAGTCACACAGCTCATTCACTGTTGGGTGCTCCTCGGTCTCCTCAACAATCTCCCTCACTCAGGGACAGTGCTTCTTCCCTGGAGGCTGTCCTAACTATCAGGCTCCTAGTGATATGCCTCTCATGTAGGGAGGCAGCTAGCTCCTGCCTCTGCAGCAGTCTGCTCTGAACTGTGCCAGGTTCTCTCTCCTTTTCTTCTCCTTCCAGGCCTGGCATTGGCTGCAGGAATAGGGATGGCTATAGGCTCTCTTTAACCCTTTTTGTACTGGTGAGGTTTCTTAGATTCACTACAGTTAATAAGCCCAAGATTCAAATACCATCTTGCATGTCTTTGTGCATACCATAAAAACATTTATACCACTCTAATACACCTGTCTGGAAATCTTGGGTGAATTGCTCTCATCCGGTGATAACCAGAGCACCAATCATATTGCATTAAAATGTTGGCACCAAGAATTCTTGTCATGGGCCCTTCTTTCTGACCCCTCCAAAAATTCCCTAATATTTACTGTACACATGCCTCTAGAGCAAGGTAATGTCCCTGGAATATTACCGGAAATTAAGAATCTCCAAAAAGTAGTGTGTCCCCAGAGAAATTGTGTGCTTTACACTAAGCCCAGTGGCACACTTGAGTGATCTACAAAGTTTAGTCTGGGCCAGGTGTGCAGCTATGCCATGAAAACATTAATAAGTCTGATAGTTATGTACCCTGCTATGCAGACTCACCTGGGACATGAGTGTGTTCCTGCTCCTTCTTCGTAGAAAGAGATATACTGCAGGAAAAGAGGAACTTCTTGGGAGTCAAAAGGCAGATAAACTGAGGAAGTGGCAGAAAATGTTTGATAGGTTGAGAGCTATGTCTGCTGGTCCTGTTCACCTCCACTACCATCAGGATTCCAAACTGCTGTTATGGGAGTGTTTCAGAGTTGTGTGTTCTAGGACACTCAACTTCCAGTAGTTATGGTGAACCTTTCTTGACCATGCTGAAGTCCACCAAAAATGTAAGCAACTCAGCTCAGTCTGTCTAATTTTGGTACATCTAATGCTGATTTCAATTTTTTTCCTGCCTAACTTAGCTTCCCTCCTAGCTAAATCTTTTGTAGAAGTTAGAGTACAAGATGAATTCTTTATTCAGCCTAGCCCTACTCTGCCACCTAAGGTCAGGCCTACTTCCTCAACCAGAGCGACTCAGATAATGAACAGTCTTTGGAGAAAAGTGGAGAACTGTGGACAATCAAGATGTAAATATTAGCTTAGACCCTCTTTCTTCTCAACCACTGAAGTAGTTGGTTACCTCCAGTCAGGTAGTTGTGAGGGATATGGTATTCAAAGCAAGAAAAGTGCTGCAAGAGAGACCAGTTCCTGCTGATGAGTTCTGCTAGAAGAGTTGCTTATGTGTCCGAATGTTACCAAAGAATATTATTACAATTCAGTCTGCCATTTCTCGCAGGAGAACTCTCCCTTTATTGAAGGAGAAACGCCTGGGGATTGTTTTTTCCATCCATCAGTAAATTCCCTTATTGATAAAACACCTAGGGAATTCATACGAATTATGCCTTTTCTGCTCACTCAGTTAATTTTACCTTAGCAACTTGGAGTTTAAAGCTTAAGGTCCTCAGTCCCTGAAGTAGACACTGCAGTGTCCTCTTCTTTAAGCAAACCCTTCCTCTTAAAAGGAATGTCAGTCCCCAGGATCTTCTTGAAATGCCCCCAGTAAAATAATATGGTAGGAGGTCGCATTGGCTGGCTTAGACTTGCTGGGGTCTGGGGCCAAAGCCTGAGGCCCACAACCCAAAGCTGAAGCCCGAGGGTTTCAGCCCTGGGCATCAGGGCTCAGGTTAGAGGCTTCCTGAAGCCACTGGGCTTTGACTTTGCCCCCCCCCTTTGGTCCCCACTTCTGTAATCCAATTTATCAGTTGCTGGCATATTTTCAGGGGACACCATCCTGTGAACTTGCTGCCAGAGCACTATGCAATCTCTGGTATCCATCTGGGGAGAGGAGACCAAGTCCGCTGAAATTGATCATGTGTAACATCCTGGCATGTGACAAGGCAGCCAAGCCTGGCTGGCATGGGCACCACTGAGACTGGCAAACAGGCCATGAGAAGATAAAGGATCCAAAAACACAAGGCCTAGGATGACTACAACTGCTTTGGCTCAGAGCAGAAAATATGCCTGGTTTTTTACAATGAGCTGGACTGAATCTTCAGAACTGAGACCAATCTGCTGGTAGATACTGCACGGAAGCATCTTGAGGCTTAATTGTGAGGGACGCAGAGGAGGAAAAACAGTTGTTCCATGGACCAGGAGATGCCTGATGCATTGCTGGGATCTCAGAATCAATTTAGTGGATCCGGGATCCCGACCCAGAAGCACAGATGAATGATGATACCTGAGCCAGCCTGGAAGGAGGAGGAATCTGGAATCAGGAGCCCCTACTGCAGATATGTAGCTTTTCTTTGTAAGTTGTACTTGTGAGAGCTGATTTTGCAGGGCCAATAGGAAGAGTTTTCCAAGTTCTTAGGAGTTCTGCTTTTAGTATTTGCAAAGGTGCAGATAGAGCCTCATGTAGGTGCAAGTGTCCATTTGTCCCACTGCTTTGCCATTCTCTGTTCTCCAATGCCTCCCTCTTTCCTCATGCTTCTGCAGCAAGAGGGGCAGCTTTTAAGCCTGACTCCCAGATCTCTGTATATCTCCTCCCTTTCAGGATCCATGAGCCTGCTCCTGGTCAGGGCAAAAGTTGCACAGTTTGGCAGATACAGCAGCTATCTGAGCCATGCCATGTGGCTGGACTCAAGCAGCAGGCAAGCAGGGGAAGAAATTTCAAAAGTAACACAGAAACCATAATGTAAAAGCCTAAAAATAGAATTTTACTGTGAGAATTACATATTAGGCTCTATGGCAGTGCCGGCTCCAGTGTTTTTACCGCCCCAAGCAGCCAAAAAAACAAAACAAAAAAGCCGCGATCGGCGGTACTTCGGCGGCAATTCGGTGGCAGGTCCTTCCCTCCGAGAAGGACTGAGGGACCCGCTGCTGAAGAGCTGTACGTGCCGCCCCTTTCTGTTAGCCGCCCCTGGCACCTGCTTGCTGAACTGGTGCCTGGAGCCGGCCCTACTATAGATTACATTATACTTTACATTATATCGGCCCATAGGCTGGACTACAGTATCTGAGGGTGCTGCTCTCAGCAATTTCAGGTGCATAATAACAGTTCAGTCCCTCCAAACTGGGCCTTGATTCAAAAGCAGCATTCACCCCTCTAAAGACCATCCCCAAGAATGTACTTGGGCACACAGCCATTGCATCGTGAACTCCATGTACTGCTGCTCTCACTGTTTCTCTGAAGGTAGAGGTAAGACATATGTAGTCACTTCTTGACTGTTTTAAAAACTCCAGCAGAAACCTTTTTTAACTGAGCAAGACCTGAGGTTTAGAGCTGAATGTTCACCCTTCATTTTAAGACAGTCTAGGAAATGGAGGTACCAGGACTTCTGGGATTTTCACTGGGGTATTATGGGAGTTTGCTATATTCTCAGAAAATGTCTAGTTTCCCAGGTCTTTGAAATCTCCCAAAACCCACTGTTTTAGGGAGAACAGGAGTACTTGTGGCACCTTAGAGACTAACAAATTTATTAGAGCATAAGCTTTCGTGGGCTACAACCCACAACACGGCTGCTACTCTGAAACCTGTTTTAGGGAGCTGGATCAGGAAATGAGATTGCAACTGCACAGACATGGGACAAAAACTGAAACTGAAAAAACAGCCTGGCCAGTGTGAGCATACTGCCCTGTTGATAACTTACATCGGTGGCATCCCACCAGTTCAATTATTAGTGATTCATTTTGTTTAGACAAGATAGGAGAGGTTCATTAGTTTAATAACTTGGGTGTGAACTGTGAATCCAATTCATATTCTTAATAGTCTCATTCTTCTTCCAATAAAGAGAGAGAAAGGTGTAAACTCAATTTTGTCTCTCAACTTCAATGCTCTTCATGTTCCCTGATTAATTCTCAAGTTGATTTCTTTTTCTGGATACACAAACTTTACACTTTTTTTTTATGAAGGAGGAGTTATTACAAATTGTTTGATAGGATACAATATATAGGAAAAGGAGGGTACCTTCCATCATTCTGTTTGTAATACACTAATTTCAGCCCAGTGATTTCTAATAGTTGTCCTTAATTAAAAAAA